GACCCATTTTTTTTCTTTTTGATTTGTCATTTATACCCATTTTAGATCATTATCATTCCTTCAATGTCATTAGCATGCCCTTTTGCTTTTTGCTCTGGCCACCCTCCCATTCTGTACCACTCCTCCTTCCACTATGCTTATAGCATAAAAAAGATAGTATTTCCCAATTGCTTTCAGTTCTGAAGAAGAGTTTTAGCAGGTTCAACATTAACTGTTCCTCCCTCCACTGATGCTGCCAGACCAGCAGAGTTTCTCCAGTACTTTGTTTTTATTTCAAATTTCTAATATCTACAGTATTTTGCTTTTATATTATATAGGATAGTCAGGTATAAATCAGAATATGCTAAAATTATTCCACTCACGTCATGTTAATTTGAATGCCAGGTCCCTCTGATTTCCAAATACACAGCCATCTGATTTATAGTTGCCTGGGGTACAAGGTTTATGTAACTACTTTGCTCGTAATATTTTAATGTTGAATATTAGAAAATAATTATGTTCGGTCAATCACCAAGCCCAACTGCTTCCACTTTTCAAAGTATTATCTGACAGTGCCTCAGTTAATCTGCTCCTGGCCTCGCCCTATTGTTTATCTCCAAGTTTGGCTATTGTCTCAGTCAGCATCCTATCTTCCATGACTTAAATGTTACCTCACCCAAAATGTTGCTGCCCATGTCCTAACTCTCACCAAGCCCTACTTGCTTGTTACATTTGTGCTTGTTGACCTACAATGACTTCTGGTCCACCATTATCTCAATTTTCAAATTATTATTGTTTTCAGGATGCTTCCATTGCTGTTTTTCAGTGTGATAATCCTTCAAGATATCTGTGCTGCTGTAAACCTGACCTTTTCACCATTCCTGATTTTAGTCACTCTGCCGTTGGTGGCTGTGCCTTCAACTGCAAAGGCTGTCAGCTCTGAAATTCCATTCCTCAACCTTTCTGCCTTCTCATGTTCTTTTAAGAGGTTCTTTCAAAGCTGTTACTTTGAATGTACTTCTGACCGTCTTCCCTGGGATTGTCTTAGGTGAATTATTATCAAGTGTGGTTTTCTGAGACTTTTGCCTTTGGATATTTTGCTATGTTGAAGGTATTGCGTAAATGCAAGTTGTTGCTTCACCTTTTATATCTGAAGAAATTAAATGTAGACAATTACAGTTCACAATGTTGCAACAATGGTTCAAAATTTGAGCTTTCTTTGTAATACATTATATCAGAACCTAATAATTGCTGTATCTGTTTTAATTTGTTCCTGGGGTGTAGTTATTGCTGACAAGGCCAAACTTTTCCTTCCCTTTCTTCACTGCCCTTGAGAAGGTGGAGGCATTCAAAAAGGAATTAGATAATTATTTGAAAAGCAATGATCTGCAGAGAAAAGGCATAAGAAAAGCATTTGATGAGATGCTGATTTGGAGAGGAGTGCAGACATGCTGGATTGAATGACTTCCAACACTACTGCAATTCTGAGATTCTGGTGTGAAATGTGACTTGAACAGCTTAATTTCAATAGTGTAGATGTATCTGCAGTGCTGTTAAGGAGAAATGATGTGGAGATGCTGGTGTTGGACTGGAGTGGACAAGGCTAAAAATCATACAACAATCATCTCAGGCAGCCAATGCATTTTAGGTGTGAGGTCTTGCTTAGAATCTGTCTGTTTTAATTTTTTGAGTGAAACAGAATGTATCTGCAACTACGCAAACATCTTGGATGAAATAATTTGTGTAAGTGAGTGTGAAAGTGAGAGAGCGAGTGTGTGGGGAATATATAGTGTGGTGGGGTCGCCTGTAGAGCAACATGAACCCAAGATCACGATTGAGACCGTCTTCATGGGTATGGAACTTGGCTGTCAGCCTCTGCTTGATTTTGCGTTGTTGTGTTGAACACTTCAGGGGTTAAGGACATACAGCCTCTGATCTTCGGGTAAGTGACCTCCAAGGTGGACTTCAAGATACGCAATGACACAAAATCGCTGAGCACGTACATACACACACGTGTACAAGCACACACTCTCATATGCTTGCACGCATACACTGACACA